CCCCAAAACCCCAAAACCCCATAATGAGAGAATCAAAATATTTGTAGGGCTTGAATGATGAATAAATTAAACATATTATTTACAGAGATTCGCTTAAATAATTGGATTTTTATATCTCATTCCTGCTAATTAATATAGTCAATAAAATGAGATAAAGTATATCCAAAGTTTAAACGTTATACGTCTGCTTTGCTATCATAATCTTATCTTCTTCAATCTCTGAAGCTAGAAAATACAACGACAAGTCTATCTTATACAAAAGATATCCTTAGTTGAACAATACTATGACTCCTCAGTGTGTTTAAGGGATCAACAAGATGCTTATTAATTTCTTACAATATCCCTATGATTAGATGGAACTTTATTCTCTCAAGGGAATAAATGATCTTGGAAGTTACTCAAAATGCCAATAAAACTTAGGATAATACTCTGATTACTCCACATTGAACTTCAATCTCTCTCATTTACCCTTGATATTGCATTTCGGCCTTTGCCTTCCAAAAGAATGCAAGCAAGCTAATTTAGACAAATTTAATGAAGCTATTACTGATACTATTAATAATGCTTGGATAGGATTGTCGAATATTACCAATGTAGAATCTGACTATACTAAAAACTGGACAAGGTTCCAAGTCCAAGTTTTGAAAACAGATGAAGTACTAAGTAGCTGGAGAGACGAGACTAAGATAGGCTGTATTATCATGCTGATACTAGCCTCCGTATTTATGCTAATATTCTGCTTCATTCCAAGTTTGCTTCACACTAAAGACAAATTAATAAACTTTAAGAATCCTCAAGCCAATGAATAAGTTTTATAAAACAGTTCAGAGGTATTAAGCAGCTAAAATCATGATAATTAATCTATTCATAACAACAACATCAACAATTCCTTATTTAGTACCCAAGGAAATATGTTAAATGATAAAACGAAGATTACAGTGGAAAAATTCAACTCCTCTAGGCTTTCTAATTCAGCTGCTCTTTTAAATGGAATGTCAGGGTCAAGAAATGGAAATCAATCAGTAGATTTAAGAAGCTCACAGGCTAGTGAGTAGTATCTTGATAAAAGAGCCTTAATAGATTCAAATTTGGATCCAAAGAGACCAATCTACCTTTAATAAACTCCAAAATTGATTGAATCCTTTTCCTGGATTAATGCTTTTAAGGAACTAAAAACCTCTAGAGGGAAACCTTGGGATCACAAAGAGCTTGATATGTTGGAAACTTTCAAGTTTGTGTCTTATGTCCTACTTTAAGTTACAGCAACAGCGTTCTTCTTGATGACTGGCCCAACTCAAAACTCTTGGAAGATTCTTGACTTCTTTTAAAACATTATCTTCACAATAGTTGTAAGTGGAAACGTCGGAATGGAAGGTTTCACTTGTCTATCTGGATTCTTTGGAGCTTATAGACTACTTCAGATCTATGATGCCAATGGTGGTACTATTTCTTTTAAGGACATACTAAAGTTTTATGCTAGAAAAGTAATGAGATTACTCCCTATTTATTACTTAGTTCTATTCTTCGGATGGTTTGTTGGCCCAATTTTATTTGACGCTCCTCTTTGGAGTATAAACAAAACTTTATATCTTAATTGTGAATCTTACTGGTGGGCATCTGTTCTTTTTATTGGCAATCTAGTACCTTTCTTTGGAGAAGCAACTGAAGGCTGTATGTTTTGGTCATGGTTTTTAGCCTGTGATCTTTAGCTTTATCTCCTAATACCCTTATATGTTGCTCTAATTAGAAAATCTAAGATCGTAGGATATGGCCTACAATTTCTACTGATTGCATTTAACATAGCCTTTGCAATTATAATTTGTCTCTAAAAAGAACTTAGAGCAGGAGTTTTTGCCCTTGAAAATTATTATCTTTTCAGTGATCTTTTAAACAAACCATACTGTAAGTTTGCAACTCATGGTACAGGTGTAATGTTTGCATTCCTCTACTGGGAAATACTAGCATACAGAAAGTGTGATAACTTTGAGAAGCCTAAGAAATATCCTAAATTGCACTTCTTGCATAAAGCTAAATGGCTTGGATATTCCTTCAACATTAGTGGGAATGCGCTAGTATGGGTTAATTTACTATGCGGTTATGGTGCAGTTAAAAGTCCATATTCATGGTCAATGCTCTAAAATTCTCTTTACTATGGTCTTACTAGAATATCTTATTCTATTGCATTATTCCTTATCTTTTTGGCTGTTATCTTGGGTCATTTTGAGATTGGAAGAATTGCGTGTTAAAATAATTATATGAGGGCTCTTGGCAAATTGACATATTTAGGAGGTCTTCTATCTCCAATAGTTATTACTTTACTGTATTGTGGTTTAGAATACTCAGCATATTTAACAACTCCAGGAGTGCTGTACCTTGGCATCGGTAACATTTTAACTTTAACAATAATTTCCTTCTTTGTTTATTTAACCTTTGAGTATCCATTTAAAGTTATAATTGGTGCCTCAATCATGAAGAAGATTTCTCATGATGATATTTTGCGAACTAAGTATTTGATGGATCAAGGAATAGTTGAAAGCAATAAAAATGATGACAAGAACTTAGAATTCTAGTTAAAAACTAAAGTTATAGACTGAGTGAGCTAAAATTCATGGCCATTCTAATCTAAAGATTCTCTATTATATCTTAAAGATAAATTGATTAAATCTTGATTTCAAAATATTTTAAGTGAGCAAGAATTTTCTTAAAATACATAAGATGAGATTATGGGGTTTTGGGGTTTTGGGGTTTTGGGG